CGAGCTTTGGAAAGGAGGATGCTCGGAATTTTCCTATACACGCAAGTGCAGAAGGGAATCCGGAGTTCCGAGCTCCGTCGACGAACGAAGATCAGGGATGCCGTTGATTACGCCAAGAGATCGAAGATCAGGTGGGCCGGACACGTTATGCGATATAATGATGACCGTTGGACCAGGGCGGTTACGGACTGGATCCCTCGGGACGTCAAGCGAACACCAGGACGGCCGCCAACGAGATGGTCAGACTTCTTCACGAAAGCTCTGAACGAAAGGAATGCATTGCCCCGTGTCCCTCGAGCGAGTGCGATTCACTGGACTACTCTGGCTCGCGACAGGGACGAATGGAGACGTTACTGGCGCCCGCTCGAGGAAATCGACGATCAACGGGAGTACAGGTGATACAGGTGATACTTTTCTATAGTGAGCAGTATGAATCCAGCGATAGAAGGCACAACAGCCCACGCGCTTAGTCGTTAGATGACAAGTCGCCAAATTCGATGTACCTTTACGTCTTCGTTGTCGCCTGCCCATACACGTTCATCTATTTCTCCATGTGACTGCGAAGCTTTATAATAATTGGTCGCCTAGCCTTTAGCCCATTGCTTCTACAGTCCTTTCAGTCGTAACTCCTTTCGTACTGGATCTAATCATGCGAAATTTCGTTGTATGTAGCATGGGTGTGTTGTGAATATTTACCGCTACTAACCTACAATCTGATCATGTTCCAGATATCATAAATGTTTGAACTTAGAATCAACTAGAAATACAGACATCGGTCCTTTTTTCTTTCCTTTTTGCCATGTCCGAAGTGTAGTGCGAGCGCTAATGCCGAACACAGTAGAAGAGGAAAACGCACATGAGCTGCGAATAACTGTAGGCGTCACTAACGTTGCCTTTGGCGAAGTTTGCTGCCGCAACAAACGCCGTCTTCAGCTACAAAGATATTGCTACTTTGTAGTCAGATAGTGCTGTTTAGTTTGAAATATGCTTCAGATAAAAATGTCGAAATTTCGCGTAATTCGCTTTACTAAGGAAAAAGTTATGAGCGAAGAAGCGTCAAAGCGTTTAGTAGAAGACTTTGAGGGCTACTGTAGCAGTCGGATCGTCCGGGTGGCGAAAGTCTCCCCTCCTTTTTGTGATAAAACTGGTCCAACGCCTGCACTCCTTCTATATTTGGACGCTCTGGTCTAGGTGAAGAGGAGTTATTTACTTCCAGTTATTAACTTCCGGCTAAACACACCATACACATTCCGACATGATCCTTGTGCGCCCCCCCCCATCGAGTTGAGTCCTACTCAAGTCCTCTG